CCTAGGTGGGTCTGCATCGCGATGCATCGGCGATGCGGCGATGCATGCAGTCTGATGTCTCGTGAGCTTGGCATCGCCTACTCGTCGACGATGCGATACGACCCTTGGACCCCATGTCCCCAAGGCTTAGATTGTAAGTTTCCAGGGGGAGATGAGGATCGGAGAAGGAAAAACTGCATAATCATAATTGTTCGGTTGTCCGCGCGGCTTGCTTGGATCGGCGCTGCCCCCACCGACGGCGCCTCCAGCGCCGCCCCTGGGTCAATCCGCGCGCCAGGTAGGGAGTTCCAGCGTCGATCCAAGAGGTCCGCGCAGACCTCTGGAAGTTTACGTGCATGATGTTTGTTGCTCCTGTATGTAGGTCTCCAGGGGGGGGGGAGGAGGAGGAGGAGGAGGAGGAGGAGGAGGAGGAGGAGGAGGAGGAGGCCAGATCTCAAGTGCAACCGAGCTCCGTGGCAAGGGTGCCGTATGCTCGTCGAGGTTGCCAGTGCGCCGTTGCCCTGGATCACTGCCGTGCCCTCGCCTTGCACCCTGACCTTGTCTTGCCTGGACGTCCAAGAGTCCCTGGACCCTCACCGTGGCGCCGTCGCCACGGCCTCTTGCCGGCACGGCTCCAGTCCCCGATGAGGACGAGGCGTGCGCTGCTACAGGGGGCACCTCGCATCCTTGCCATTGCTCCAGCCCTGCCGGTGAGTTTTGTCGGCCAGCTGCTGCAGGTTGGGCTCTCACGGGCCCTGCACTCACCGAGCGCGCTCCACGACTCGCAAGGTGCCTACTCGCAAACGTCCTCCTCCTGTAATGGATCGTAGATCCCTCGCGGCGGATCCGGGCCATTTGCGAGTAGGTTCTTTGCGAGTATTGGAACGCGCTTACCCGTGCATCTTCCGCGCGATTGGCCCCGACCGTATCGCGGCGTCTTTCGTTGCCCCGGCCAGCGGCCGCGGGCCCGCCACCCCGAGGGGGCTGCACAGAATCGCCCGCCGCGGCCGTGTCGGAAAGCTCGCGCAGCGCCGCGCGATCTTTTCCCCCCCGCGTTCGACTTCCACTCCTTGGATCCCCTCCTCCCCAGTCCTCCTCCTCCTCCTCCTCCTCCTCCTCCTCCTCCTCCTCCCCAGTCCTCCTCCTCCCCCTCCTCCTCCTCCGCCTCCTACTGTAGGCCTCCCATCCCAGATGGGGTCCGAGTAGATGGGGTCGGAGGATCGCGCTGCATCGCTGATGCATCGCTGATGTGGCTCGATGTGGACCCCGCCCGATTTTCTCCACGACGACGGCGCCGATGCATCGCCGACGTCGCTGATGCATCGCCGATGCATCGGAGATGCGGCGCGATCCTCCAACACCGTCCACTCGGACCCCATCTGGGAGGTCTTTACCCTACTCGATCCTCGAGGTTCGAGGATGCAGGTGTTCATACGCACTGGCCACACTCGGGCCTCGGAAGGCGTGTGGAGGCGTATGGGACTGCCAGAGGCTCGCAAGGACTTCAGGAGACCCCCGGAGACCTCTGAAGACTCAGACCTCCACCGATTTGTTTGTTTTGCGGGGGGGACCGCTTTCTGGCCCCAGGAGCATCCGAAATCGATCCGAAATGAAAAGCCAGATGCAGGCAGGGAAGGGGTCGAGAGCCTCGCAGGGCCCAATCCTCCAGATGTTTGGGGCCCGTACTCATCTGTTGGGCCCTTCCCCTGTCCACTCGTCCCGTGAGAATCTCCCCACCCCTCCCGGTCTCCCTCTGCCGATTTGGTGAACCGCAGTCCCGCGTGCACGATTGCGACATCAGAGAGCTAGAGCCGATCAGCGATCAGAAGACGCCACTTCCAGTGATTGTTCAAGGTGCGCTGATGCTGGACCTGGTGTTCCACAGACCGTCTGTCCCTTGACACTGTGCCTGCTTGAACCCCTGTGGTTGCCTTGGCATCGCTCGGACCTCTGCATTTTTCCTCGGCGAAGACCATCGAGGGGCATCCTGGATCATCGTGCGAAAAGTAAACGCGCGAAACCGAAAATGCACGTGGAATGGACGTCCGAGCGATGGCAAGTTGATATGCATCCCCATCGCAAGTTGTCAAAATATACGAAAACCGTGGGAGCTTCGACTTCGTAAAAGCCGTGAAGATTGCATGCTGAAATAAGCAGCGTCGAGGCCAGCCGTTCCCAATTAGCATTGTCCGCCAGAGAGCCCCTGTGCTCTGGGATTGCACAGCGTGAGAGCTGCATTACAGCTGGCACGAGGGTTCAGAACAGACCCAGCTCTGGAGGGGAGGGGTACCAGTGTGTTCTTTGTGTTTGGGCGTTCCGCCCTGGAATGCCCTTCGTTTTGGGGCACCTCGGCGGGGCCGTGGACCTCCTGCGAATAGGCTCGTATGCCTGACGTGCGCTCTTGTTGTCACGTGTTGATTGCGAGAGGATGATTCCCTACCGCCTGTCATGCCCAACCCCATCCCATGATGTCTGCAGAGTCGCGGAAGTACTGGCTGATGAACCACACGGTCCGTCATTCACGAGGCACCGCCGTTCAAGCAGATTGGCCGTGCAAGTGTGCCGTCTTGTCGCACAGGGCTGAAAAGTTCAACGCCAACGCCAGTCGTGTTGAAAGCGTTGTCTGGAAGGCAGAAGGCAGTTCTAATGATTGGGAAATCGCACGGCGACAG